ATTTTTTTTTATTTTAAATAATTAATTACAATATAATCATGTATAACTATATAACTATATTTATAAAAAATTTTAAATTCATACATGAATAATATTAAACAATATATTGTGTGTGTGTGTGTGTGTGTGTATGTGTGTGTGTGTGCATGCGCGCGCGCGCGCGTATATATAAATATAATTAAATACATCCATAAATCAAGAATGAAAACTATCATTCACTATTTTTTATAATTATATTTATAATTTATATATTTATTTTTTATAATAATCATAAAAATAAAAAATTGTTATTTTGTCATATTATCATGAAAAGTATCGGATTTATAAATTATCGCAGCCAGACAGTAAATGGACTACGGACCAAAGTCAGGAGCGGAGTCTATCGAGGTTATGACGATAAACCGGTATCTATCAGTAACGGCTCTATGATTAATGAAACATCAAGATTATAAATCAGTCAGTAAAAGAAGTTAACATTGCATAATTATGTATTTTAAAATTAATTTATATATTTATTATACTTAATACTTTAAGTATCTATGAGTAAATTCCGCAAAGAAAGATTTCATAGATTTGCTGATAAGAAAGACACTGAATGCAAACAATTAAACAAAAAATTTTTAAATCTAAAATATATAATTAATTCTACATATATTTTAAGTTTTTAACTGTAAACCTACAGCTTTTATTATTTTTATTAAGACCAAATTTTATTTAAATTTCTTTGAATATTAACAATATTATTAGAAGAGAATTCCTATTTATCATTATCATTAATATAATATAAATACTTTTACAATAACACAATTTGTGTATATACATATTTTCAGAAAACTTTTTAATAGCTTAACAAGATCTATGTACAAATTATTACACAAAGTATTTCTACTTTAATCAATGTAACTTGAATATATTTTAAACATTAAATAAAATCTTGAGGTTTAACTTCTTTAAAATTGTATGGTTTCAAGATGACCACGTGATTATAGATTCATTCGCAAATGATGCAGCTAACGATTTTTTCAGTATCATTTTTTTAGATGGAATTAATTTCTTCTACATAATATAATTATTAGTCTCGAATTATTTTGAATAAAAGTATTAAGATAAATCAACTATTTAGAGATATTATATATTCTAGAATATTTTGATACGAAATATAAAATATCTTCTAAATTTTTTATTTTTTGATAATCATCTTAATACTTTTATGTACAATATAATAAGATTTTTATGTACAATATAATAAAGCGAATTAATTGATAGAAAGAAAATATATAATTGTTTTTCAAGAAAAGTATACATACATTTGCATATTAGAAATTATATAATTTTTTTGAAGTAATTATGTTATCTTTTTGAACCAATTGATTCGTTTCATTATTCTGTACATAAAAGTATTATGATGCACTTATCAGAAAATGAATGGTTTTTCGAGATATTTTATATTTTATGCCAAAATGTGCAAGAATAAAGTATAAAATCTCATAAACTATTTTTTGATAATTTACCTTTATACTTTTATAAAGAATAATTAGAAAATCATGCAAAAAAATTATATAATTTTACTAAGAAATTACACTTTAAAGAATTACGCTTATAAAAAAATATCGATAATGCAGAATGGATATCTAAATAAAACATTGAAATATTTCAAAAATTAAACCCAGTAGGCAAAAGTTTCAGACAAAAGTTAAAGATATGTTAATATTTTTATGCATAGAATAATGAGACAAATCGAATGATATAGAAAAAGCATGTGATTATTTAAAAAAAATATATACTTGCATATTATTAATTGCATAATTTTGTTAAAGCAATAAACTAGATCTCAATATCTCATCTATTAAGGTTCGGCTCTCTTGCGGTGTGACATAAATTATTTGACGTCAGAGATGAGAAATGACATGCAAAAAGTTTCTTGCAACGTATAGTTTTATTTTGTACTTTTCTCTTAAAAATATGATATTTTCATATTCTTAAAACTTACAAAAAATACCAGAAAATAAGATATGTCCAATCATATAAAAATGTGAATAATTCTTGAAATAATGGTATACTGCTCTTAGATAGCTATTAGAAATCATCAAATCACTAGATGTTCATAAAATTTGTAAATTTCTCTTATAATAAGGGAAAAGTACAAAATAAAACTAGACGCAAGAAACTTTTTGCATGTCATTTTTCACTTCTGATCTCATAATTCAATATGACTGCAGCAAAAAAACTGAGCCTTAAAGTAGCTTATTCTTAAAGTATTCAAATTGATCAAAATGAGATACTGTATTATTAAGCATATTATTAAAAAAATTTTATTTATTAACATAATGTATCTACAATTTATAATTATATATTTAAAGTGTGTTTATTACAGTACTTAAATAATTTACTTTAAATGTTTTTTATTTATATAGCATATATTATAAAAATTAATAAGAGCTGCCATGGATTATTGGTGTGCAAAAAAATTTTATTTAAAAAACTTAATTTACAAAATAATAATTTTGATAATTTAAGTTCTCGTCAATACACAAACATGTCCGTGGACATGTGGACACTATAAATTACAAACTCGCAATGATCAATTATAAATAACAGATATACACACATACAAATGCCTACGCATTTGTACGGCCTGACGTGTCTGGAGGCTCGCCCGTTTGGCCTACGATACGCTTATCGCAACATTGCATAAGAAAAGTTGTTTCGTTGGCATGTTGTATGTATTGATACCAATTTCATAAGAAAAGAGAATCCAAATTACGTAAATAGTTACGTTCTGCTTTTATCGTAACTTTAACTTTTATATATATTTTTTTTTATTTTTAATATTATTTCTCTTCTGCATCTCTGTTTCTTTGTTCTTTTCTTTATTTTTTTTTACTACTTGCTGTTTTTACTTTTAAAGTATCATAAAATCTTTCTTTTCTTTTTTTTGTATTATTTAAAAATATTTCCATTTCATATTTATGTTATTATAAACTTATGGCACAAGATAAATGTTATAACAAGACAAAGGAATAATATATATATTAATAATGAATAATTAAGAGAAATTACATTTATAACAAATATTTATGCTAAAAGTGCAAGATAAAAATAAATTCTAATATACGTAAGATGTTAATATATATAGAATAAATATGTTAATATGTTAATATATATAGAATAAATATGACGCAAATCTTTTTTAATTTTTATTTATTAACTAATAAGAAATATCTGATATAATTATTATTTGATTTCATCAGCTTTTGCTTCCATTACAAGTTTATGTTGTCTTTCAAAGTTTACAAAACATATTATATCTTGTCTCATCATAAATTTTTAGCTAACAATTTTATTTTATTGTTTCAAAGTTAAATTAATATTAATAATTGAGTTTCATTAATTTTGATAGCAGATATACTTGAGTATCTAAAGCTTACTATTAATAAAAAATATGTTTTAAACAAAATTTAAACAGTCATTAAAAACATTTACTATTTATGTGCGAAGACTATGAAATGAATCTTAAGCTAGAATGATAGAAGAAAAAACAATGTGATTGAAAAATAATTGTATCAAATGTTTATTTTTAATTAATAAATAAAATATAAAAAATAAATTTAAGTTACATTTATTTATTGTAATAATATCAAAATTTTTTCATTATCCAAAATGTATTCATCCCGTTATATATTTTTTTTTTACATTTCTCTTTTTTTCTTTTTTACATTAAGCCGCATATTACATTTAGTTTTAAACACTTAGTTTTAAAAGAAATTATAGAAAGTGTATGCGTAAAACATATTTATAATATAAATAGATAAAACCCGTAAAACGTATACATGCTTATGAATGTTTTGTAATACAAGGTGATTTATTTTAATCTTAACAGACAAATATTTCGAAAAATATGGAAGATAAAATGTTTCAAAACAAAAGTTTTATGATTTCAAGGAGGACATAAAATAGTACCATTGGTTTGACCTTAAATAACTATTTGTAACTCACATGAAGGTCATCTTCAATTTTTTAAATAAAAATCCTTATTTTTTATTGTGTATTCTTATAACTTACCTTGAGAGCTTTTCAAAGTACTATTATAAAGTTGTTTTTTATTATTTAATTTTTTGAATTATAAGGCTTGAATTTGACATACAATTTAATATAAAGTATAAAATATCTCGTAAACTATTCATTTTTTGACAACTACATCTTAAGCAGTTGTATGCAGTTGTATATCGAAAAATTGATTTTTGAAAATATTTATTTTCGTAAACTATACTATCTAAAGAATATTTTTTGAAAATTTGAATTAAAATTATATCGGAGATATACGAGTTTGAAGAGCGCTGCACAAAGTACTTAGAGCAGGTAGGGCACCGTAACTGCCGAGGCAAGACAGTCTCTTCTGTGTAAAATTGGAATGTAAATTGATATTTTGGAGACAGCTTCTGCAGCAGAAGCTTTATGGGTCTGAAATAGATTTTGTGTATGTTAAAAAATAGTAATTTTATTTACGAGAACTAAATCTGAAACTTCAATTGTGTTTTTCTCGAAATCAAATTTTTTTCAAACATACAAATCGATGAGCAAGATATCTCGGGAATCGTTGCATCGTCAATTAGGCTAAGATTTTTACGGGCTTTTTTTATACATCAAATATTTGTCCTTGAATGATTGATTTTTTTTCTAATAAAATTTTTGTTTTTAATTAACAAGAAAAAATTTAGTCATAAAAAATTGTACTTTTTCATTTAACGGCTATCATTTTGTTCAAAAT